GGCGATGCGCTCGTACTCCGAAGGGGGCGCCCGCCGCAGGATCTCCCACACGTCTTCCTCCGCCGGTGCCTCCAGCTTCGAGTCCCTGTGTCCCGCAGTCCACCCCGAGAGGCCTCAGGGGAAGCCAGGACAAGACTACAGCCCCTCCCCAGCAGGAGCTGCCCCTGCCCCTCTGCCCCTCCCTTCTGATGGCGCAGCTTGAGCGGCCATGAGTCCGGAGCCAATTCTGGAGGTCAAGGGGGTTAAGGCTCAGGATGGGGGGCTGGGACTGGGGAGGTGCCCCTGGCCGAAGTAGGGATGAGAGGTGCGGGGCTTTATCAGTCACTCACCGCAGGGTCCGTAAGCTGCTGCTCCAGGTGGGGCAGAAAAGCAGTGGACACATTAGAGGTGCAACAGAGAAGAACAAACCTGAATCCATATTGTAGCTTTAGCTCTAACCCTTGTGTTCTGTTACCTGTGCTTAGTCATACTGGCTCTGCACCTTTGTAAAAGAATGTTGCTTGTAGACTGAAATATATATAATTCACTCTCAAGGCTCTGCCTCCCAGGCTTGACTTTTAAAGGTATATAAAGCTTTTCATTCATATACAAACAAAAAGTTGCAGAACAGAAAATACCAATTGTCTTGTTGGAGGTTTATAGGAACATTGTGACCAGACCAGGATTCCAGTGCAAAGAAGTTCGCAAGGACCAGCCACACCTCCTCCCGTTTTAGCATAAAAGAAGCCTGGATTCTAACTTGGGTAACATGGTTCTTTGGAACACTAGTCCACCATCTTCTCAGTCTGCTGGCTTTCCAAATAAAGTTGCTATGTCTTGCCCCAACACTTCGTATCTCAGTTTATTGGCCTGTCACGCAATGAGCAGTATAAACTTGGACTCGGTAACAAAGACATTGATCATCCCCCATGGACACTCTGTTTACGGGGCACATGTGACCTTATTTATTACTCCTGAGCTCTGGCTGGTGGGTATCAGGGAAACCCAAGGCTCACAGACTCTCCTGGGTCAGTGGGGATCCTCACCCAGGTCGGTCTGATTCCCAGCCCTGTCACCTATCAATCATCTGCCCTGGCAGGGATGGCTACAGGGTCCTGCCAGTGCCCTGCTACCCCAAAGCGCCTGACTGTGGTGCTCATTTTCTGGGCCACAGAAGCAGCAGTGACCATAATGCAGGGTCCAGGAGTGGAAGGGACAGGACACAGAGAATACAAGTCAGTTGCACTGGGCTGGGTGGGCAATTCTTTTTTTTTAATGTGGGTGGGCAATTCTTGAGGCTTTGGGGCCCTCTCCCAGCTCTGGGTCCCCAGAGCCTATTGAGGTGAGCAATCACAAACTCAAGTATAGGGTGGTCAGGGGGACACTGTGAGAATGTTAGTTCACAGGATGTAACCTCTGTGGAATCCTCTGATTCTTCCCAACACCTGGATTGTCCCATATGGCAGACAAGGAAATCAGCTCAGAGAGGTACAGTGACCTCCTCGGGCCACAGAGATGGAAAACCACAGTGCCAGGATTTGAAACAAGACCTTGCCACCTGCTCCAGGAACTGCTTCCCGGGGACTCACCTCTTCCTCAGGAGTGAGCTGAAGTCCAGAGTCCCAGCATCTTCGTGACTGTCACTGTGGAGAGGGACCCCCAGTGAGCCCACAGGAGAGCTGACTAGAAGGGGCTTGGGAGCTGGGGGTTGGGGGAGGGAAAGTGGCCCTGGGGGAGATGGAGTGAGAGGAAGTGACACCAGCTGGATGGGTGCTCCCCACCCATCTCAGACCCCCAGGATCTGTGTACAGGTGGGTAGGAGCTGAAAAAGGGTACCTGATCCGCCGACCACCTCCAGCCAGGCTCCTGTGGGGGTTAGACTCATTCCTCACCTGCCCAAGGTAGCTTGCTCTCTTCCATGCCCATCCACTTCAGCCTGGCCCCCAGCCTTAGTCCCCGACATCACACCCCAACCCCGACCCTCATATTATGCCCCAGCTCTAAACCCTAAATATCACCCTCAGTCCTGGTCCTCCCACATCACCCCTGGTCCTGATCCCCCCTTATTAAACCCCAGCCCTGGCCCCTCACATCACTCTGGCCCTGAGCCCAGTACCAGCCTCCCCCAGGCCCTGAGGAGAGACAGCTACTCTACTCACGTGCGGCGGAAAGCTGATCGGAGGTCCAGGTCTCCGGGGCCAATGACCTCTGGGTTCAAAGAAGGGGATGAGTAAGGGGAGGGGGTTTCAGAAGGGGCCATCTCAGAAGCCCTGCCCTAGGGTCTCCTGGTGTCACAGATTGCCCATCCATGACCCCTTGACAGCATCTGCTCCAGGATTAGGATCCCACCTTCTGAGCCTTTCCCAGTCAGTGTTGAGGTACCAGGGACGTGGGGCAATTTCTGGTCCCCGATCCCTTCAAGATGGTTCATCTCCCTCCCATCTCTCAACTCACCCTTCACCTGTTCACCTGTGGCAGGAGCCCAGACACCAAGGTGACTAAGACCCCACACGAGATCTGGGCTGAAGCCCCACCCCAACCATGGAAGCCTCTGTGGATTTCTTTCTCACTCCTGTGTGAGGCATGTGGTCAGCAATTGTATGGCCAGGGCTCAGCATCCTTCTTAGTGTTGGGAAATGGAGGCAGGTGCAAGGACAGGACCCATGGGGAGCCCAAGACCAGAACAGATGCCAGAGGCCCCCTCACCATGGACAGTGAGATTGAAGTTGCAACTGTCAAATTTGTCCTTGGTGGATACCTCACAGCGGTAGCCACCAGCAAACGTGGCCTGGGCATCTATGATGTGCAGCTCAAACAGATAGACCTGTGGAAGTAAGGTTTCAGGGGAGATAGGGGACCAGAAGACAAGGCCCTTCACCCCTAAAGAAGACTGTGGGTGGCCAAGGGCTGCCAACCTTCTCACCCCTACGGCTTAAGTTAATCCATACAGTTTTGTATAATTAGAGAAAGGGGCCCCTTCTTAAGACACCTTGACTGCCATCTGCTAGCACAGGGTGGTGAGAAAATATAGATCAGTGGTGATTACAAGGCAAATGGCATTCACTCAAAATAAGGCACTTTTGTTTAGTGCACAGCCCACACAACTGAATGGCCTTGTCCTGTCCAGAAGCCCCTTTGGCTGGGCCAGAACTGTAGAAGAGTGGGAGGAGCAGAGATGGGGAGTCAGGGCACAGGTTCTAGTCCTGGCTCTGAGTGACCTCAGACCAGCAACAACCTCTCAAGCTTTGGTTTCCTCATCTGTATAATGAAGAATTCTTCTGGTTGATCACTGAGGACCCCTTAAGCTTAAATACCCATGTATCCAGGGGCCTTACATCCTCACTGGCTGGTGCCCTCCAAGCCTTATCATGCTCCCTTGAGGTTATCATGCCCTCCAAGCCCCCCTTTTCCCACAGGTCCCCATCACCCTCCTCTGAGCCTCCCCATGCTCCCATGTGCCTCTGGTCCCTCAGCCAGCATCCCAGGCTCTCCATGACCCTTCTGTGCACCTCCTCTGTGCCTCAAGCCTCATGGTGCCCCCCTGCCTCCCTGTGCCCCCCATGCCTCCCAGGGGCTCCTCTATGAGTCCTCTTGACCCCCGTGCCCTGCAGGCCCTACCTTGCTGGCCCGATCATAGCTGTCACGCAGCTGCAGATGTTGCCCCACTTTGCTGCTCAGGTCTACCCACTTGCCCTTGAACCACTTGACCACAGGTGGTTTCAGGAGACTGGCCCCAGCCACACGGGCTGAGAAGGTGATGCTGCCGCCTGCAGGAGAAGGGTGACAGGCTGGGCTTGGGAGATGCCCCACAGCCTCCCTCCCCACCTCACCTCAAGCGCAGTGGCCCCACTCACCCACGGTCACCTCGCCATCCTGTGGACGCATCACAAAGAGGCCAATGGGGTCCTCAGGGGCACCAGGGCCATCGGGGGTGGCTGAGCTTGGCTCTGTGAACAGAGGCCTTTGAGATCTGCCCTGGGACACCCCCACCCACTGGCCCCAGACTCCCTGCCCTGCCCCTCTCACCTTCAGGACTTGGGGAGCCTCCTTCCATGTCAGTGGCTGAGGCCAGCGCTTCTCCAGGGGTTCCAGGAGCCTCAGCAGGGGTGGAAGCAGGGCCTGGTACAGGCTCTGCCTTCTCTGGAGGGCATTGGGTCAGGGGTCATGGAGCAGCTTCTAACCAGAGACCCTTCATCTTGTCCCTGGTCCTTCCCATCTTTGCAGGGTGGCCAAAGTTTCATCCAGCCTGCATCTCACCTCACCCTCACTGGCCGCCAGTGCCCACATCGTGGTGGATCGCCCTGAACACCTCTCCTCTCCTTCCCCCAGCTCTGGTCTCAATCCAGCCTCTCCCCACCAAGGCTGGGCTGGGGCTCCCTCCTTGCCCACAAGCTCGTGGGGCTTCCCTACCAGCACACACAGCCCACCAAGTTCCCATCGGTGTGTGGGTGTCCGGTGGAAGGGAACGTTATGTCTTATTCGTCTCTGAACTTCCCCCACCTCCACAATGGCTGAAACAGGCCAGGGAGCCACATGGGGACACGTAGACAGGTCTTGCTACAGAAAACAAGAAAAGGCCATTGCTGGCTGGCTGAGGGCACCACCAAAGTAAAGGCAAGAAAGTGGGAAAACACCTCCTGTACCGTGGGCAACGGAGAGGTGGCGGGGCTACCCCTGACCCCAGAAGCTCAAACTTCAGGGAAGGCTGCCGAGACTCCTACCTGCTTCTAAGACCTTGAGGTCAAACTTGACCTTGGAGGAGCCAGCGATGACTGCGTAGGACCCCTGATCGGCAGGGCCCACATCCCGCACCGTCAGCGTGTGCCGCGTGCCCTCGGCTGCCAGGCCATACTTGTTGCTGGCGCTGATGTCACTGCCTGCTCGCTGCCATCGCACCTTCAAACCTGCCCGCTCTGTCTCAGCCTCAAACACGGCAGGGCTGCCTGCGGCCACCTCCACTGACCGTGGCTTCTTGCTGAAAGCTGAGACTGAAGGACCAATGGATGCTGCACGGGCCCCTGCCTTGCCCGTGCACCCCACCTCTGCAGCCCCTCTTATTAAATACAGTGATAAGTGCTTTAATGCATAATTTCATTTCATACTCTGACTCAATGAGGTAGGTGTAATTATTATTCCCATTTCTCAGATGAGGCCTCTGAGGCTCAGAGAAGTTAAGTGACTCACTCAAGGTCACATAGCCAGTAGGCAGGAGAGCCAAGCCTGTGGTTCTAACCTCAAGAATTTTTAGTGTGTCCCTGGTTACCCTACCCTCCCTGCCTGTGGAAGCCCAGCCCCTACTCCCCCACTCCGCCATCGACTGGGGCCCTTGGCAAGGGACTGGAACTCTGCCTAACTTGGCTGTGGCTAAATTTGTCCTCCAAGAGCCTCAGGCTGAGAATCAGCAATTGAGATAAAGCTGGCCTGGGAGGGGGCTGGGGCTGGGGGCTGATCCTTGCCCTGCACAGTCTTGGTAAGGGCATCAGCCATAACCAGGACTCTGCACTGTGACTTTCTCTGCCCTTGGCTGAGATTCAAGGGCCTCTTGACCATCCTCCCCCCAGAGGAGAGGGGCTGCATTATCTCAGTGTGGGGGCCATGTCTGCTGTGGGGACCACAAGAGTGCAGGCCCATAAGACAGAGCATCCCGCAGCTGGGAGGAACCAACCCAGCCCCTCCTTGTGTAGATGGGGAACCTGAGCGCCAAAGAGAGGAGACACTTGTCCAAGAGCATTCGGTGAGCCCAGCTCAAGTCTAGAGTCATCCTGGTGTCCCTCCCAAAGGGCAAGCCCAGGCCTAACCTTGCTGCAAGAGGCGGGGACGGAAGCAGAGAAGGGGTCCCCGTGCATCCTGAGAGTAGAGCGATGGCCCTAGGGGCTTCCTGCCTTGACTCTCTCCCACTCTGTGCCCCTGACCCTGGCATGCTCTCACTCTCATCAGAAGGATGGGAAGGAGAAACAGAATCAAAAAAGGACCCAGGAGGACGGTGTCCCCTGTCCTGGGGCTCAGAGGCCTTGTCCTCAACAACCCACTCAGGAACTCACTCCTAGGCCCGCCCCCCAGTTGCAGATGCCCCCAGCCCTACCTGCCCCCCACTCAGCCCAAACCCCAGGCCTGGAGCTACCTGGCTTCTTCCCCGGCTCAGGCATCTTGGGAGAGGTCACACCAGGAACCAAGCAGGCACGGGCCACCCAAACAGGATCTGAGTAGGGACTTGTCCCCGCACTATATAACGGGCCACCCCCTCCCTGGCCCTCCTTATCTGCACCCTGCCCAGCCACCTGCTAAATATAGACAAATTCCAGAGATTGAGGTATCTCCAGAAGAATGTGGGGCCCCCTCATTCCTGGCTGGCTCCTGTCCCCTCCCCAGTCAGCCCAACGTGATAGCTTCTGACCCCCAACCCTCCATGAACCTCAGGGATACCCCAAGGCCTATATGTATGTCTTTCTGATGCAAATTGTGCAGTGGGAGTATGCCGCCCCCCCCCCAGACCTGAGGCTGATGAGTCAAACACATCCTTGCCAGGCAGTGGTGACTCACACAGACCTGGGGCTGGGCTGCCCTGAGTCCTGGCACCACTGCTCCCTCAACCTCAGTGTCTTAATCCCATCTGTCAAGTGGGTGCAGCACCCCCCACACAGGGTTGTTCCACGTACAAAGAGCATTTACCGATAAGACCACTAGAGCAGGGCTGGCCATATAGAAAATACTGAAGGAACGTTTGCTCAAGTTGTCACAGCTCCAGGGCCCCGGGCTGGCCTCATGCGGTGGAACCCTGGGTGGGCTTAGTCCAGGGCCGGGGAGGAGGGAGCAATCCTGGGGGCTGATATCACCCAAGGGGAAGGGCTAGGTGAGCCTGCAGGCGAGCACATGGAGATAAATCTCTATACCCCGAAGTGGGAGATACAGGCAGAGGCAGCGCTTGCTCAAGTCACAAGGATTCATGCAACAATTACTGCCAGAATGTTCTGAATGCCCTCATGCTCCCCTCACTGTTCCTCTGTGACTTCCTGCCCTCTGTGACTGCTCCCACACTCCCCTCCTGGGTCACATCGGGAACACTGGGTGCTACATAGAAAGCAGCAAATTGCACGTGACCCACTACAAGCAAGACCCAATATACGGGAAGGTCACTCATCCTTCATCGTCAGGAGAGAGGAATTCTGTACACAAGCCTTGTCCATGTGGTCAAAACTTACCATCCCTTTTAACACCGAAATCTATTTCTTTTCTGCCATTTTAACTGCTTTTAAACTGCATTTCAAGCACCCGGGCCTTCATTAAAGGGGACTGAGCATCACTTTCCTTCTCTCAGGGCCCCGAGACCTGTGTAGAGGGAGGTCATGGTTGGGCCTCCCCAGACCAAACTCTTGGGGCGAGGAGGTGTGTGGGATATCTGCCGCAGAATCTGGCTTCTCTGCGGCCTGCAGGCTGCTGAGGAGTTTCCTCACTCCCAGGCCGTCAGCCGCCCCTTCTCATGCTGTTGGAAGCAGGAAACTTACAGATTTTCCTGCTCTTCTTTTTCTGTCTCTCCTCTGTATGGGCCAGAAGTCAGAGCGACCAGACGCCGGGCTGCATGGGCGGGGTTCACCTGTGTCAGGGTCCAGCCAACATGGACTCCGTGAGGATGGTTTGCGGCTTCATTCCTGCTCCTGACTGAGCCTCACGATACCCACTTCCACGCATGAAGCCTCCCACCACACGCTGACGTGGCAGCCCACGTAGGGTGGGATCCGGCCCACCCCTTACTCGCTGTGTGATCTTGGACAAATCAGTTGACCTCTGTGAGGCTCAGTTTCCCAGTCAATAAAATGGGATGATATTAGGCATACTCTTTTCTTTTTTTAACATTTTTTATTGAGTTATAGTCATTTTACAATGTTGTGTAGAATTCCCAGGTAAAGCACAATTTTTCAGTTATACGTGAACATACATATATTTACTGTCACCTTTTTTTTTTGCTGAGACTTAGATGCACTTCTTAAGGCTGACATGTAATAAATGGCCATATAATCCAGTGCTGTTGCCATTCTTACTGCCATCATCATCCCTGGGGCCGTGACCTAAAGGTATGAGTTTAACCCTCACTGAGGCAATTACAAACAACATTTATCAGGCGCAGAGGTCTTTTGAAAGATTTATTTCTCTAAGAACAACTGAGGACTGGTTCTTTCTGCTGGCTCTGACTCCTCCTGGTCAGGCACTGTGTGTCATCTGTCCTCATGTCCCCAGCGTCCAGCATTGGGTTGGATCCTCAGTAAATGAGAAACATCCGATAGACAAATGAGAAAACCAGAGAGCAGGTGGGGGTGGGTGGGTCGGGGGTGGGCAGACAAAGTGCACAACACATTTAAAAGAGACTGTGCTGCAAGATGACTCACTGAAAATAACTTTAATAATAGTTTCTTTAGGAAGCAGAGGGGGGCGAGGTGTAGGGATGGGAGAGATGCGAAAAAGGAGGGTTCAATTTACACAGATATGATGACTTCGAACTCCCAAGGAAGTACCCCTGGTTGTACTAAGCCCGCTGACCCTTTGCTGGGGCCAGACGCCCAGGAGGCCTGGAGCCAGGGCTGGAGTCC